CATCCTCGCCCCGTCGAATGAAGCCGCATTTCGAAGCATGCCTCCTCGACGATTACCAGGAGTCTGCTGCTTAGCCTTAGGTAGGAGGCTAAACTATCCTGTAAGATGAAGTTCTACTTATATTAATAGTTATAAATGTCTAATATATACAGAGATGATCGTGACTGAGCGACTGGATGACGCTAATTCTAACCATGTTCGAGAGAAGTTAGAAATTTGACACTTGGTACACATGAACCTTTGGGGAAGCAAAGTTCCGGAAAAATCCGACTTTGGAGGTGCTTTGGGTATCTTTAAAATGACTCCATGCATTATTCTCCAAAACGGGAAAAATATGCTCCACTCGATCAAACAATTTGATCGATTTTAGTGGGCAATATCGAAACTTGTCACCTTGTGAATTCGTCGTTTCAATATTTCATTTAAAAGGGTATGCCATTTCTGACGTTATAAAATTCGAGATTGGCACTCTGTGGCTTGACGAGATATCAAAATATTCGAACACTTTGACCGACTTCAGTGACCAACACTTTCCACTCCGTGAATCCAGACTTCAAATACATCATTAAAAAGTGCCTGCTACGCTCTTTCTAACGATACAACATTCAACGTGAACACTTGATGGGTTCACGAAGAAAGAATTACTTCGCAAATGTGTGGAGTGACGACGGAAATTTTCTGTTCTCGAAGTTCCAGTCATGCTTAAATATGGTTAAAATATTGGGACATTTTCTTTATTTGATTTATCTTCCATTTGGCTTTAACACGGCGCATCGAAACCGTTTCCTCAGTGTGGCCCCATTCTAAACGCTAAACATTTTTTTACGACGCCATATCATGAATAGACAAGATCACAATTCTTTGTCCTTGTATTCATACTGCATTTTTTGTGCTTGTCAAGCATATGGCGACAAAGGGAATGGCATAAACACACCATGCATGTAACAAGATAGTGAAATATCGTCATGGGAGGCGGATTGCGACAACATTCCTCAATTTGCCTTGAAATGAAGATTCCTCAGAGATGACAAAACCAGCCTTCTCGACGGAAAGAGGGCGAAACGCCCTTGGTCCTCGTCTCTATATAAAGCTTTCACCGTTCCATTGTGCCACCTTCTACCCTCCTCCTCGTCTTCGGATGTTCTCGGAGTGACTCGGTCTATATCGTAGTGTTTGTTGACGCTTCCTCTCCTTGAGTGAACATAAAGCGCTCTTCTGCACCAGCTCTGCCTCTCCATTGAAGTATACCCATTTCGAACAGAAAGTCGTCCCATTGGAAGAGGGGCATGGAAGGAAGTGCATGGGCAGCCCTATACCTTGGGTTGAGTTTCCTCGCAGGTGCCTCCATATCCCAGGAATGCGGCGGGGAGCTGACCGACCCTTCTGGCCTCATCACGTCCCCTGGTTATCCTGATTATTATCCTCACAACTTCAACTGCCGCTGGAAAATCAGAGTAAGTATTAGAATTAGAAGTAGAAATATGATCACCCCCGCTCCTCTAAATGGTAGAAAGTGGACTATACCATTGCACAGTGGTTCAGAGTGACTGAAAACTTGGCCGAAAATGCCTGACTTCCTTTTGTTCGATCTAGGGGGGTGGGTTCGGCAACATAAAAAATATTGTCCAATACTATTATGATTATGCCAATATCTGACGTTTCCAGGCATTACCATTATTCTTTATTCGAGTTTTCGAAGTTATCACGGTATATTCTAAATTTATTGTTTCAGCCTTGTTGCGTTAAGCATCCTTGAAAAAGTATCGTCAAAAACGATTAAGTGGTAAAATGTTGGTCGTTATTTGAGGCCACTGTGCGTTCTTTCGAAGGGATTACCTTCTTCAAGAGTTGTCAGGTCAGGGTGAGAATTGGTATTTTATTCATTGTTTGCGTAGGCACATATCCAGAACATCTGTTTTCTGTTGTACACACCCAGTTTAAAATCCAGGCTGGAAACAGCTATAATTTCCAGCTGGGCTCCAACTGGAAATTCGGACCCATTCCTACTGGGTAACGGCTGGAAAGTAGTCATCTCCAGATTTGTTCCTAATTGCTTTATAACTAACTGAATGAGAATATTTTTGTCAGAGGTCTGTCTACAAGAACAGCTGATTTTCAGCTGCAAATTCAGCTACAATCCAGTTATAGGGTCCATGTCATAAAATTCCAACTGGAAATTTTCCAGCTGGAAACAGCTATTAAAGCCGGCTGCATTTCAGTTGAAAAATTCCAGTTGAGAAACAACTGGCACCTACTATTTTCCAGCTCTTTGCCAGCTGGAAATGGTCCGAATTTACATATTTGGCCCAGCTGGAATATTCAAGCTGGGATTTTAAACTGGGTTCTTACTCAGATTATCGTAACGGATTTCAATATTAAATTTTTAAAATTGAGGCTCGTACTGCAGAAGTTTAGAACTACGCCGTTCACATAGCCACAAACCAGAGGAGATTTGTAATTCAGGAAATTCCAAGCCCAAAGTCCCAACCGCGGATTTTTCGACGGCCACTTTGGCACTTCCAAGTCGTTAACGACACGAGTGTCGTCGTACCAGATGCAAAGAGGAGAACCGGGACCGCCTGGAATTCTGCTGGAATCACGAAAACGGTGAACGAAACTTTCCCGGGCTTCTCTCGTAGAGGGACGAGTATTGCTGCCATGGGGGATTGAAAGATCGCGGAATCTCGAGTCTGCTTCCGTGCCTATTCGAATCCACAGCTGGACGAGAGATGAAATCGACATGAAAAAATGTTGTATCTAAGGCTTTCCCTCGTGTTTCCCCCTGCCTTCGCCGAGTCTAGCCTCTAGACGACAACGAAACACTGCTCGTCAAACGAAGCCTGCACTTGACAGCATTGGCTATCTAGCAACCAGACAGTGGTACGACGGGGTGCGATGCAAGAGATTCATGAGGATGGGGGATGGAGGTGGAGGGGGGCTTAGGGGGCATGGGGGCATGGGGGACCGTGAAAAGCATAGAGGAATGTGTGAACCTAGGATTCTTACCATATCTATTCGCTGAGTCATGCATGTCTCTAAGCGGAAGAGATAGGAAGTCGGAGTAAAACACACTGTGCAGTTTCTTTCATACCTGTTAAATAACCTGTATGACAAGAATGGTCCAAAAATGTTCTCACAAACTGGGAATAACCAATGCAAGTTCGACATGGCAGATCGTACTTTAGGAACAAGTGTTAAATAGAGAACGAAATAACAAATATTGACGAACATTTCAACGGGAACGTAACCATGAAGACAATGACATTGAAACTGAATTTGGAATTTGAATTTGAAACTACCGACATGATATTTTCAAATTACTATAACGTTAGTAACATTTGCTTGAGCCACCCTTGTACTTTCAACAGATACACTATTTATTGTGCCGTCCGCCCTTCAAGGCCAGTAATTTGCTTGTCGACCTCTTCAATTAGTGGCATGGTCAGGGAAGGGGAGGGGGGGGGGGGTTGATCTATGTGAGGGATCTCCCCCTCCCCCACAATCCCCCAAAGTGTTGAGCACGTCCTTCGCCCAATACTCCAACCCCCTCCCCAACCGCCACTTCCAGGGATTCCACGTTTCTGCCCCTAGGTCAATACCCGTTCGAAAATTCTAGAGGTGTATCTGAGGGGGCGGATATGTCAAGCTCTAAAACGTTTTCATACAAGCCTCGGGGGTGTCTTTTTAGAAGGTGGAAATACCACTTTGTCTCTCTCCACTATAATGCAGCGCAAGCATCATCAAATTTCATATCCTGTATATGGAGGGTATTGACACACACTTGAGAGCATGGGAATTCGCAAGGCTCTTATCCCGTTTCCCCATGCAGATATAAGCGAGCCAACAACAAATTTTCTTTCCCAAGCATTCGACAAATGAAATAGTGCGACGCACAGAGTCGGTATTGCGAGGGCGTGACTGATTCCTCTCGATTTTGCGGTACATTCTGAGGTATTTTTCGGTGAAGGAACCGACGCAGCTGCCCCCTTTTCGACATGCGCTGTTCTAGTGTGAAGTTTTTTACGTTTGTTTTGCATTCCTCGTGGAGTCGATGAACCTCGACGCGGAAGAACGGCATCACGTGACGCAACGCATCCGGCGGAATCGCATCCTTCGCCGTGCGAAATCGACCGAAAGCCCCAATCACATAAAATTAGACCACGAGACGAATGGATTCCTTCTCCGCCCCCCCCCCCACACCCCCCCACCCCCCCACCCCCCCAACGCTTAGATTTCCAACCCGACCCCACGACTGCCTTGTCTATCCTCTTCGTCTTCGGTGATAACATCATCTACTCTTTGAAGTGAGCAATATCCGAGAAAGGGAACGAAACTGGAGTTCCCGGTTTTACTCCATAAAAACGAAGAAGCGCAATCGATAGCTTCTCCTTCATAACAGCAAAATCCACATATTCTTTAAGACCGCGAAACGAGTGAGATAGAGTACTTTTCAAACTAGCAGAAAAAGTTAGTGGTCGTTCTCGGGGAAGAGAGAGGTGAGCGACTGCACTTCCTTGCTTTTAGGGAGTAAAACCGCTAACTCCAGTTTCGTCCCCTTCCTCGGAAATCGCTCACACTTTTCCAAGATTGTTGGGTCTCGGATTCTCCCATCTGATGACGGGATCTGTTTGCAGGACACTCCTACCTTCCACAACCACAAAAAAAGCAAAAGTTCTGCAGCGCGAACTCTCGACTTGTATACAGGGATATTTTCTTTCTCTTGGGAGCTCTGCGACCAGCGTGGATGATGCGTCGCAGACGGTCGCAGTCAAGAAATGACTGCGAACTTTGCAAGACGGTCGCAGTGCGGCTTTGTCGCAACACTTCGCAGTCGGTGTGCATCGGCCTTACGGCTTCGAAGGTCTCTCCCCATGCGACCGCCTGGTCACCGGCTTTTTTTCTCGCATAAAAAAAGGCATCTGGGGAAAAATTAGATATATATATTTGTAATCCGTTCCCGTCCGGCCAAATGCATTCTCTCTTCGGCACTTCCCGTCTCAATGGAGAGTGAGAGAGGGAACGCCATCATCTAAGCAAAATGATTCTTTCGCATTAGTATGCCAATTCTCCCATCCCCCCCTCTCTCTCGCCCGAGGCGTTCGGATCCAAACAGTCGAGTTCGGTTTCTATCTGTCAAGGAAAGAGAAAGGTGTTCATCATTGTTTCTTTTTGTTAAATATAAATTACCCCAATCGCGGTCGTGGAACAGCCGCTCCCACAACCGGGCAGCACAAAGCGGCAGGAATAAAATCCGGCGCCGGCAGCGTTTCTGGAAGTCTTCGCAACTCCAAAGCGGGATTCGACACACTCAACCTCGAGTCCGAGCTAGGGACAAGAGCCAGACGGACACGAGACGACCTAATCTACAGCCGATCGGATGATCTCTGAACGATTCCTCTCCCGCTCTCTCGTGACCTCCAGAGGAGTACAAGAAGGTGGCGAATTGGGTGACGCCGAAGAAAAAGCACGGCCTACCCGTATTCCCGGAAGAAATCGTGATGGGCGGGATGACAGCCGACGGCGAGACCCTCTATGTGGCCAGGGCTGAGCACGATAACGACACTCTGCCCGGCAAGGTCCAACAGAATCACAGTCATTGCTATGTCGGGTATAACGGGGAGGAGTATTCCAAGGAATCCTATAAGGTGAGAGGTTGACTACTGTTACGATTTCTTTTTTTCTTGAGACAATGATGTGACAAATGGATTGGGAATTATAAATTCCTTCCTCATGCGTTGTATTACTTACTGTCAGAGTTAACGCCCAATCGCAACTGTCAATACCTCTCTGATGATTGGTGGTGTACGGAGTGGGAGTTTGGACCTCGATTTGCAGAGCTATGCTACTCGTATTGCGAATAATGTGGTATATAAAAACTTTTGAGTCATTTTTACTATTTTCAAAATTGTTCCTTTGGAGGAGAATTTAATTTTAACTACGTGTTAAGGTTGAAATGCAATTGATAACAACTTAAATTAGCAATGTAAGAAAGAAGCACTTCTGCTTCTACCAACGGTGAATAGAACTTGGAAGCTGATCGGTCATGCGTTGTGCGTCGAGAACGGACCTGAATGTCGTTGCAACGGCGAAACGAAAGGATTAAAAAAAATTTTTGCGCCTCTATTCTGTCGGACATCCTCAGGTGCTGGTGAATCCCGCCAAGAGCAACCTGGACTGGGTGGCGGCATCCGGGGGGTCGGTCCCGGCGGGGGCCCTGCAGGGAGGACGCACGGCCGAGGGGGAGGCGCTCTTCATCGGCAGGTGCAAGCACGGGGGTGATACCGTCTGCGGGAAGGTAAGTCGCGAGCTACGGTTTCGTCCATGGAGAGGGGGAGGGAGTTTCGTTGAACTGTCCTTTTAATCCATGCCTTCACGGAAAGTTATGAGGGGTTAGAGTTAATAGTCCTTTGAATCGGCGCTGAAAGACGTCAAAAGAAGTTACGTACCACATAGATTTTCCCGACATTCAGAATTACTCCTTGGATGCACTTGTACGTCTTTTTCACCTCATCGCTCATATCCTTCTCTGAAGCGTTCTTTGGGTTCCCAACTTAACCGTTTCTTGGCAGTCTTTTCAAAGTCCTTTCCGTCATCATATCGATTCCACGAAGGTCATCTTCGATTTGGCGTACGGAGAAAAATCGCCGGGGTCCAAGTCTGGTGCACGGGGAGGATTCGGTCGAACTTGACACCCTGATTCGTGAATTCCCGGAGCGATCGGGTCGCCGCCCAGTTTAAAATCCCAACTGGAATATTCCAGCTGGACTAAATCTGTAAATTCGGACCATTTCCAGCTGGCAAAGAGCTGGAAAATAGTAGGTACCAGTTGTTTCTTAGCTGGAATTTTCCAACTGAAATGCAGCGGTTTTAATAGCTGTTTCCAGCAGGAAAATTTTCAGTTGGAATCTTATAAAGTGGATCCTACAACTGGAATGTAGCTAAATTTACAGTTAAAAATCAGCTGTTCCTGTAGATGGACCTCCGACAAAAATAGTCAACAAAAAGATTCTCATTCAATTAGAGATATAGCAATTAGAAACAAATCTGAAGATGACTACTTTCCAGCTGTTACCCAGTTGGAATGGGTCCGAATTTACAGTTGGAGTCCAGCTGGAAATTATAGCTGTTTCCAGCCGGAATTTTAAACTGGGCGTTCACCCAGGGAATCATGTCTCCCTGTAACATCTTCGATGTCTTTGGAGGTTTNAGTTGGAGTCCAGCTGGAAATTATAGCTGTTTCCAGCCGGAATTTTAAACTGGGCGTTCACCCAGGGAATCATGTCTCCCTGTAACATCTTCGATGTCTTTGGAGGTTTCGTTCGGGAATGGAGGAGCAGGGTTCAGGCCACACCAGGCTCGGACCGCGGCGAATTCCTATCGTGTGGCAAGGTGATTCTGGAACGCGACGGAGAGTGCTTGGATCGTGCTAACAAATCGAGGGGCAACCTAACGAATGCTCCAATGATGGAAGTGAGAAATGGGTGAAAAGATTTTTAAAGAAAAATACGTGGGGCTCTCGATTTTATCTTTGATGGGATTGCGTCGATGACAAGATGGCACTTGGCCCGCGAGTCCCCGCCGAGATCGGCCATCGATTGGGCCCCAAGTAAGAATCCGGCGACTAGGATAACTGATGTGCCCTCTCGTGGACACGACTTTGCTTGTTCCCCTTAGGTGCACCCGAGCCACGGGGTGTGTTACATCTCGTACGCTGGAAAAGAGCATCATTACCAGGACTACGAAGTCCTCGTGCTCAAGACCGTCGATCTCAATTGATCTCGACGATCCATCCTGTCACGCCATCTATACATACCATACCTTTCGTGTGCCACGGACCCGAGTTTGGAAAACGCATTTGTTGCATTTGCATGCATATTACAAATATATTTGTTGCACGTGGGTATTCATACACTGGTGGGGTTGGTGTCGTCTTGCTGCTACGAGTGGCGATTCCTCCATTCCGAGGGTGTAAGGTCATCGGAAGGGTGGAATCCTCACTTGGTGTCATTGTATCCCGAGCTTGTGTTGCCTGTACTGGACAGATGATTATACTTTCTGTATCCGTTCCATGTCGTTATATTTAATATATCACTTGAATTGCACATTCCTGGACGTTTTTCCCTTCTGGTGGATTAACGACTGCAATCAGAGAAGAGACGATCATTGGGGTCACCTCCCATGGTGACACCGATGACCGTCACTCCCCTTCTAGTGGCACTGGCTTGGCAGGAGGGGAGGTGCTTCAAGTTGTTTCTTTAGAGATACTTTCGTTTAAATATTATTGTAACGTTTCAATGTGTTTATTGTTATTATTTTAGGCTCCGAGATTCAGAGACAAGCCAAACGAAGCCGCCTCCCCAGACAATTTGGCCTGTGAAATCTCCCCACGGAGGCCGCATTCGTAGATTATACTGCTCGAGACAGGGTCCACTTCGCCATGACGGAGGCTGGTCGGCCCAAGACGTGTCGCTGTCGAACGGGAGCGAGTGGACGGCGGGGAACAGGGAACGGATGGATGTACCAGGGACGATCTGCCCTCGGCTTCGCGTTTCGAGGCCCTCCAAGGGGCCTAAAGTGGGCTTCTGATTTTGTTTTGTCCTGGGCCTCGGAGATATCTGGGCGGCCTTCCCGAGTGGAAGATGGAAAGGGAAGACGGGAGGTCTGGTGACACTCTGGCGCTCCAGGATTGATCGCGTCATAGTGGGTGTATTTCTTTGCTATCTGCAGCAGCTCTCCGGAAGACTCCGGTGTGCATGCGCACACGTCACGGGAAAGCAGAGAGAAAAAAAAGGATCATACCTGAATACCTGAATCAAAGGCAACGCCATGATGCTACTATCCGTTCTCTACCAAGTCCAGGGTTAGAAGAGGCAGCAGTGCTTCTGCGGAGAGGTCTGCTATAAAAAAAATGTCTTCTGTAATGGATGGCGGGATGCGGCTTTACTTAAAGGGGGGAATAGAAAATGGGCTGGGCGACCCAGGCTTTGGAAGCGGCGCTAGCAACCAGAGCCGTCAGTTCCCTACCAAGATTTGTGGCGGATGCATCCAACCACGCACGGCCATCCATGAGAAATGAGGTTTTTGATTGTCGACGACCGGAAAGAGATGGCGTTTTGTTCAATTAGGTGAAAAAATGAGGGTTTCCTTAACTGAAAGGAGGCCCACTGCTGGACTGGGCTTGCCCAGCTTGTTTAGAATGCAGCCAACAAGTAATATACATGTACTGTACATGGTGGCCCATGAGTCCCAATCGGTCATAATTAAAGCGAAAATGCAAAAAAAATCAAAGTAAAAATGTTGTAATAAGTTTAGAAAATCGTTATTCAAAGTATAAAATATAGCCATCTCGACAAATATCCTCACCGTAGTAGTCGACTCCGCCAGCGTGAACTCCATCACGCGAAATCCAAAGTTCCATGCGACGCCACGTTCGCTTGGATGCTCTCCTCAACATTTCATGGGTAAATCTCTGCAGATGGCGGCTCTCAATTCTTCCACGTTATGCATGCGCTCCTTCCTCACTCTCTCCTTTACAAACGACCAAAGCCAATTGTCGTACGTCGTTATTCGGGGCTGCGGGCGGGCCAAGGTATGGGACCCGATTGACACATCCGGACGGGGAATTGCTGTGACAAAAACTCTCTTACTGAAGCTGAGTAATGGACTGGTGCGCCATCTTGTTGTAAGACAACATTATTAATTTTCAATTGGCTTTAGTCGTTTGCAAAGGAGCAAGTGAGCAAGGTGCATATGCATAATGTGAAAAAATTGAGAGCCTCCATCTGCAAAGATTTACCCCTGAAATGTTGAGGAGAGCATCCAAGCGAACGTGGCGTGGCATGGAACTTTGGGTTTCGCGTGATGGAGCTCACGCTGGCGGAGTCGATTGCTAAGCTAGGAATATCTGTCGAGATGGTTGTATTTCGTACTTTGAACAAGCGATGCATATTTCTAAACCTATTACAAAAGGTTTACTTCGTTTGATTTTTTGTATTTTCGCTTTAATTATAACCGATTGGGACTCATGGGCCACCCCGTAGAACAAATGTATGTATGAACCACACAGATGCGAGAACGATCCCCGGTCTGCCACACGCTCACCATTACACCGACATTTTTTTATTTTTATTAATTTATTATAATTTCACCTAATTTAAGTGGGAGGCACCAGAGTTTAGCCTATGCATACGATTATGGTGTAAAATGTGGAACCGCATCGAAAGAAATTGAACCCGTGTGGTGGTCGAGCCAATTTATTCCATCGATTCACTGCATACTAGCCTACCTCTCAGAAAGAAGAAAATGAAATTCACGTGAGCACGCCGCCCTGGGGGCGGAACTCATGCGGGACATCGCCGGAACGCATCGCCCGCAAGAAAAAATAAATAATAAATAAATTAGAAACGCACTCACACGCACGAACCTGCAGTCAAGGTCCTGGTTTCAGTTACTATGATATAAAATGCCGAACAGAGGAACATGCTTCGGCACAGCAGCTTTCTTTTTGTCTCCACCGTCCTGGGACTTCCGCCTGTTGCGTTCATTTGCGAGGATGATATCCAAGTCGCGGTCGAGATTTTCCAGCCGACTGTTCCTGCGCTGCTGGAGACAGTAGTCCTCTGGCATCTCGTCCATGCCTGGCCCTTGGAAGTCGTCCGTGGTCGCCGTGGGGAGGCACTCCGTGGACGCCTCGGGGGGAGGATCGGCGGCGCCCATCTCCACCAGGCTCTCTCGCCGGTGGCTCCAGAAGTCATCTTCCGACTGGACGGCGGGTGATTCCGGTCTGGTAGTTTCTTCGTCTTTCTCCGGGGTGGCTAAGCTATCACCCATCTCGTGACTTTCTCGTCGGTGGCTGAAGTAAGTCTCTTCAGACTGTCCCCCCCAAAAGTCCTCGTCTCCCCCATCCTCCTTCATGACCTCGACCGGCTTCTCTTGGGGTGCAGCCTCCTGCTTGTCATGTGCTTCAGTACCATCCTTCCCGTCCGTTTCCGGTTTGGACGTGGCTTCGACGCTCGATCCCTTGCTGGGTGTTTTCTTGTCCTCTTGCTCGGCAGTTTGCTTCGCTTGCAAAGATGATGCATGCTCATCGCGTACGTGATGGGACTCGGCGACGAGGGAACCTGTAAGAAAAATTGCAATGGGATCGTGCTCCAGTCGAAAGCATCAAATGTCAGCTCGGCACATGAGCAGGAATCGGAGTATTACATATTGCTCTTACATGTCAACAAGATTAGGGACACCATGCGCATAGACTGGAGAACGTCGAAGAAAATACCATTTTCCAAGAAGCGCATGTTCGTATTGTAGCGTGACATTCAACATGTTAGACCCATGCATTCGATTTTCAGGAAAATTACTTCGTCTGAGAAAGGAAGAACTGGCACATCCAACTCGAGAACCTTACTTCGTGTCTCAGACGAAGTTGTAACAGCGACAATTTTCGCGATTCGGCAACTTTGACTCGGTTCCTTTTCGCTCGTGATCGCCTTGCTGTGCTGCAGAGACATCTTATCACCGTCGCTTTCAACTCGTTATCGGTAATGACGGTACCGGTAATTGAACAACGGTAATTGAACCCGTGTGTGGGTCGAGCCGATTTATTGCATCGATTCACTGCATACTACCTCTTAGAAAGAAGGAAATTTAGATCACGAGAGCACGCCGTCCTGGGGGCGGATCTCATGCGTGGCATCGCCGGAACGCGTCGCACGCAAGAAGTAATAAATAATATATATATTTAAAAAAAAAGTACATACACACACACACCCACACACACACGAACATGCAGTCAAGGTCCTGATTTCAGCGCTTAAGAAGTACCATGCTGAACAGAGAAACATGCATTGGCCCACCAGCTTTCTTTTTGTCTCCACCGTCCTGGGACTTCCGCCTGTTGCGTTCATTTTCGAGGATAATGTCCAAGTCGTGGTCGAGATTCTCCAGCCGACTGTTCCTGCGCTGCTGGAGACAGTAGTCCTCTGGGATCTCGTCCATGCCTGGCCCTTGGAAGTCGTCCGTGGTCGCCGTGGGGAGGCACTCCGTGTTCGCCTCGGGAGGGGGATCGGCGGCGCCCATCTCCACCAGGCTCTCTCGTCGGTGGCTCCAGTAGTCCTCTTCCGACTGGACGGCGGGTGATTCCGGTCGGGTAGCTTTCTCGTCTTTCTCTGGGGTAATTAAGCTACCCATGGCGCCCATCTCGTGACTCTCTCGTCGGTGGCTGAAGTAAGTCTCTTCGGACTTTCCCCCCCAAAAGTCCTCGTCTCCCCCATCCTCCTTCATGATCTCGATCAGCTTCTCCTGGGATGCAGCCTCCTGCTTGTCATGTGCTTCAGTAGCTTCCTTCCCATCCCTCCATTCAATGCTCGATCCCTTGCTGGGTGTTTTCTCGTCCTCCTGATCGGCAGTTTCCTTCGCTTGCAAAGGAGATGATGCATCCATGACGAGGGAACCTGTAGGAAAGATGAGAATGGGATCATGCTCCAGTCGAAAGCCTCAAAAGGCAGCTCAGCACACGAGCAGGCATCTGAGTATTGCATATTGCTCTGACATATCAAAAAGATTAGAGATACCATGCGCATAGACTGGAGAACTTCGAAGCAAATACTATTTCCTAAGAAGCGCAAGTTCGTATTTTAGCGCGACATTCAACGTGTGAGGCCCATGCATTCGATTTTCGAGAAAATTACTTCGTCTAAGAAGGAGAGAACCGACTATATCCAAAACGAGAACCTTACCTCGTGTCTCGGACGAAGATGTAATAGTGACTATTCTCGTGATTCGGCAACTTTGACTCAGTTCCTTTTCGCTCGTGATCGCATTGCTGTGCTGCAGAGACATCTTGTCGGCGTCGCTTTCAACTCTTTATCGGTAACAACGACCGGTTTACCTGTCGGGATAGAAAAGGCATCCCTTGCATCACGACCTCCTCCGGCACCCGACTTATCATTAAGGTCCGGAGCCTACGCCGACGCTGGGGCACCTGTCGGCGTGTCTCTCGAGGGGGGACGCGCACTGCACGGACGCGCGATCGAAGCCTCCACTTGGCATCCGGCTACTGGAACTGCGATGCCGTCGACGCGAGCTGGGTCGAGGGTTAGGTCTACCGGGCGAATACGAACGAAATATCGCGGAGAGGTGAAGGCCTGTGGGAAGAGCAGGTGAGGATTAAGTGTGGGCCTCCTGGCTCCTGAGAAACTTCCCTATTCTATGGGGTCGAGCAGTCTAAAACAAAAATGACTACTTGAATTCAGTTGAAGTTTAGAAGTGGGAAGTGTCAGAAAATGATCCGGTCGTGGGGAGGATGATTTCAATAGATTCGTCATTAGCAAAATGAAGTGGGATCCCAAAAACGGGGTGGCAATTGTTGCACTATCCTTGACCAGCGGAGATGTCACGGATTCTACAGTAGTTGACCTATTCCGATGTTTCATTTAGTTACGCTTCTTTGCCATGTTTCAGATTTTGCAATTTTACTGATTTTGCAATGCTATTTGTCTTAACCAGAACGATTCAGAGAAGGTGCGGTACATTTAAACCGCTCGTGGTTCCGTTCGGCCACCCTGCATCACCCCTTCGAATCATTCGGCTGAGGACAAGTCGCCTAGCAAAATCAGTGAAACAGTGAAAAGAAGCAGAATTTAATGGGCGATTGGGACAAGGCCAACCGGAATCCGCATCGCATCTCTGCAGGCCAGGGAAGGTGCATTTGCACAGTGACCAAGACGGCGTTTCGTGATAACGAGTGACCCAAAAGATGACTTTGAGGTTTGGCGTCGATTCATCGTGTCATCGTGATGGTCAATGTCATTCAGTCGCTTGGAGAGTCCAGCCAGCGTGAAGCTGTGCTGAGCCCAAGCCGTCATCCGTCCTTTGATTCCAGGGTCGCTCCGAAAGTTTTTAGGACGAGGAACTCGCCTTCGTTCTGGGGCGATGAATCGCCCGAGTCATTCGAAGTGCCGTCCATCGGCTGGAACGCGCTGCTCCGGTCGCCTTTCGGAATCCTCTCTGATGGCTGACGTGTGTCCTCGTGGCGCCTCGTGGCACCTCGTGGCGCCTCGTCGTCGCCGTGGGATTGCTTCCCTTGCATCACCTCCTTCACCTTTGGGAAAAGGGGAAGGATGACGAAAGGGCAAGGTCGGCCGAGTGGGGAGGGCGAGGAGATGGCTCAAAATATTGAACGGCGAGGAAGTCTCACGCTCGCTGCTCGCTTGCAAGTACTTTTTGGAGGGCAAACTGCGAAGTACCTGACGGCAGTAACTGTCTTTCCTGCGCTTCGACTGCGTCGCACGTTCTTCGGGCTTCGGGGGAAACGTTTGCGCAGTCGATTTCGGTCATCGTTTCCGGACTCGGTCTGATGCATTCGGGTCTCGTCGTATTCGGAGCTCGAAAAAAGCGGGCCGAGATTAGCCCTCATCCAACTTTTCCGTCAGAAATCACACGGGTTTCTACCTGGATTTCTGTCAGGGTGGGACAGGCACCATTGGTATTTCCTTTTCACTATCTGTGCGCCTTGGTGGGAAGCAGGCCACTGCCCTACCAGGTAATCGCTTGAAAGGCCGTTCTTAATTAAACATAGGACTCAACATTATTATATATACCTGTATAACCATCTCGACAAATATCCTCACCGTAGTAGTCGACTCCGCCAGAGTTAGCTCCATCATGCGAAACACAAAGTTCCATGAGCCGCCACGTTCGCTTGGATGCTCTCCTCAACATTTCATGGGTAAATCTTTGCAGATGGCGGCTCTCAATTCTTCCACGTTATGCATACGCTCCTTGCTCACTCGCTCCTTTACAGACGACCAAAGCCAATTGTCGCTCGTCGTTATTCGGGGCTGCGGGCGGGCCAAGGTAGGGAACCCGATTGACACATCCGGACGGGGAATTGCTGTGACAAAAAATTCTCTTACTGAAGCTGAGTAAGGGACTGGTGCGCCATCTTGTTGTAAGACAACATTATTAATTTACAATTGGCTTTAGTCGTTTGCAAAGGAGCAAGTGAGCAAGGTGCATATGCATAATGTGAAAAAATTGAGAGCCTCCATCTGCAAAGATTTACCCCTGAAATGTTGAGGAGAGCATCCAAGCGAACGTGGCGTGGCATGGAACTTTGGGTTTCGCGTG